GCTTCAACATTGCTACGTTTCTATTAATTTGAAACATCGAAATTTAGGACATCTCATACAAGTACTTATTGTTTACTTACATCTGCTCAGGACGAACCGGCTTTCATCGTAATACACAGAGTGGTGTTGATGGTGACTTCATTTCAGCCATTAATCCGTTAAGTCACAATAAGTATTTATTTTATTTATCAATAAAAATATAAAATTGGCTAAAAATTTGAAAAACGAATATATATACATATATATATATATATATATATATATATATATATATATATAAAACTCAACTGATTATATATATATATTTATTAATTGGAATCGTATTCACGCCGATGAATTGGATCGTGAATACGATTCCAGTGTAATAAATTAAACCATGGAATATTAGTGTTTGATTTATATCATATTTTATTCTGTCCTGAACATTGAGTTCTACTGATTCTATTCTCAGTGGGAATATATATATATATGGAACTAATGCTTTTAATTTATTTATATTAAAATAAAATTAGGGTTTTTAGCTTCTATTTTGAAACATGGTTGGAACTTGGAAAATAACCATATTTTAAATATATATATATATATATATATATATATATATATATATATATATATATATATTGACCACTAATAGTATATATATATATATATATATATATAATTGTGGAGTGGATAAATGAAACGGCGAAATATAAGCAGGCGTGTACGCACGTGCTGGTGTGCATACACAGGCAAGCAAATAAATAATCGTTAAATTTATGAATGAGGTGTAAAACGTATAGTGCTCAATGCGGTTATACAGAGCAAAATTACGTACATTATGACATATACGCGTACCTACGTTTTGGCGTGTGACTACATGCTCGCTCGGTGGCGTATCCTGTGCTTGACGAAATGGGAACACCAACCAGTGAAATTATAGTCGCCCCAAAAAGTAAATACGTATATCGCGTATATATATATATATTAATATATATATATATATATATATATATATATATATATATTATATATAATAATAATAATAATAATAGTTGGTCACTCGTATTCGAGGATACCCGTCTATTAAGGCGGCTAGGCAGTCCCTATTACGGACTCTCACTCAGGCACATTTGTGTTTGTTCAACACCTACAGAGCCAACATGTGGTTTATACTGCAACTATGCTGAGCAGACCTTAGTTACAGTTTCTGGGAGAGAGCCTGTTATCAACAAACTGAACAACAGCAGCAGACTCAAACCCACAAACGATGACTTCTTCGTGCTAGCTATCGACGTAACCGTGGGTATGGTTTACAGGGACTTTCCAAAATGGCCGCACGTTCGGATCGAGCTCGATCCAGACCGATAAGATCAGGAAGCCGCCTTCCTGACAAATTGACCATGGTGAGATTCGAACCCGGGTCAGATAGTCAAAAAGCACTCGACCATCCGGCTAATAATTTGAGAAGCTGTCTGTATATATACAGTTATGTATATGCCATCAAGCTGCCAAAAGGAATTGATTATATATATATATATATATATATATATATATATATATATATATATATATATATATATATATATATATATATATATATATAACTGTAATATATGTAACAGTAATTTCTAGAACAATTTCGTTATTCGAGATATAACATAAGCACTCAAAAACACGCTCATACACATCTGCAAATATGTGTATACGTATATATATATATGTGTGTGTGTGTGTGTGTGTGTGTGTGTGTGTGTGTGTGTGTGTGTGTGTGTGTACGTAATGGAAGTGAAAAAGAAGAAAAGAGACGTCGTAAATTCGTATTGATTTCTGTGGTAAGTAGCCATGGAGATGGCTTCTAGGGCCATTCGTTCGCTCTCAGAGTATATTGTGCACAGCCGGGGAGGTGGATTCGCAAATAAATGTAGCGGGAAAACGAAAGGAAAATGGCGGGAAATGGGAATGTGAGCAACTCGGATTTTTCTTGATTTTAACTGCAATTTTCTTTTACGCACATGTTAACATATGCCTGCCCACACAAAGTATCTCATTTTTGTTATGCCAACACACACTCACATACGCACACAAACACATATGAGCGTATGTATGTGTGCGTATGTGTGTTGGACATATATATATATATATATATATGTGTGTGTGTGTGTGTGTGTGTGTGTGTCTGTCTGTGTGTGTGTGTGTGTGTGTGTGTGTGTGTGTGTGTGTGTGTGTGTGTGTGTGTTATATTGTTTAAATTTTGATTTATTTATGAGAAAAAAATCTTTCAATTTCTGAACAAGGTCCATCGACAGTAGATACAAGGTCTGTCGACAGTCAATTTTAAGTTCTGTCAACAGTATATCTATTAACACTAAACATTTAAAATAGAATATATATATATATATATATATATATATATATATATATATATATATATATATATATATATATATATATATATATATATAGAGAGAGATATATGTATATATTTTTATATAGGTTTTGATTAAGACATGTCTCATTAAACAATTTATACATATTGTCTATGTATAAATAAGATCATTTATATAACATATATAGCCTCATTAAATGAAGAAAGAAAATTACCATGTTGATGCACATCCATTTTATTTCCGAGTACTTTCGCCATTAACACAATGTCATCTTCGGGTTTTTGTTTTGCTAAGACTTCTTGTTCATCTGAAAATTAAGTTTTCATATTTGAAATGAAAAACGCTAAACCTTAGCCTTTTAAAAGAAGAAAAAAATTACCATGTTGATGTATAACTATTTTTTTCCATACTTTCGCCATTAACACAATGTCATCTTCGGGGTTTTGTTTTTGCTAAGACGAAATTGCTGTGTTCATCTGAAAATTAAATTTTTCACTTGTGAAATGAAAAACGCTAAACGCTTTTAAAAGTCGAAAGAAAATGACCATGTTGATGTATAACCATTTTTTTCTGGGTACTTTCGACATTAGCACAATATCATCTTCGGGGTTTTGTTTTTGCTAATACGAAATTGCTGTGTTCATCTGAAAATTAAATTTTTACTTGTGAAATGAAAAACGCTAAACCTATTCACTGTACAATTTTTAAGTTTTATGATGTAAACATAGACGTGCATTAACGTCAAGGGAGGTAACTATGTTATTGAGATATTTAACTATTTAAAAAACTAATTAAATCTATTTGCTATAACCTAGATATTTTAACTGTAAACATTTTAAAACATTTCTACAATATTCATAATTAATTTTATTAAGGATTGGTTTCAATTTTTAATATAGATAGAATTTTTAGTTTATGTTTATTATTTTCATGAAAAAGTATAGATGTATTTTTTATAAGAATGTTTCTAAATTACTAAGAAACTCGTCTGATATATATATATATATATATATATATATATATATATATATATATATATAATGTCAGATTAAAAATAACATCCAATTTTTTCCTTGATATATATATATATATCAAGGAATCACTGGATGGTATATATATATATATATATATATATATATATATATATATATATATATATATATATATATATAATGATCTCCCGTCAGTTTCGACGTATAAGGATCTGCCAGCTTATTGATTCGGTTATGAAAGTTTATGCGCTAATCTTAAGTGGCATTTAAGACCCGCTAGGGATTTACAAAGGAGGCCGCATATAGAGCAAGTGTGAGGATTGTGAGATGAGATCACTGTTAGATTGGTTGATCTTTTAGATCTTGCTCTCGCTTCTTGAAGATGATTCAGACAAGCAGATTGAAAATTGCTGAGTCCACTAAAGCACGTTGATCTCCATTCTACCCGCTCCAAAGCTAAGCGCTCAAGAAATAAATATAAATATAAACATCCAGTGATTCCTTGATACATACATACATATATATATATATATATTTATTAAAGACATTTTTATGTTTAACGTTCTTTTTTATAGATACAAGTATTTAAGTAAATGCTCTGTTTATAATAAACAGTATTAAATAACATTTACGCCAGAGCAGTTATGAATGTACGAGATTCATGGAAGATTGAAGTTTATAAGCAATAAATTCGACCTTTGTGGCCGAGAGGTTAGGCACGTCAGCGTAAATGACGGTTCGTATAGGATGCAGGTTCGAATCCTGTCAAAGGACGAATATTTTCTATGAAAATTTCTCGGACATTCAGGCCGGTAAATGTTATTTAATACTGTTTATTATAAACAGAGCATTTACTTAAATACTTGTATCTATAAAAAAGAACGTTAAACATAAAAATATCTTTAATAAATAAATTGTCGGACTTTGTCCATTTCTTAATATATATATATATATATATCAAGGAATCACTGGATGTTAGTTTTAATCTGACATTATTTCTTATTACTCTAAACGTTTTTTGTGGATACTCGTGTTTGAAAAGACGCCTGTTGTTTGTTTTTCAAATCGTGTGAATTATTTCTATTGGCTTGCACATCCAAAAGATTTAATAAAGAAGATATTAGCAGATATGTACTTTCCAGCGAATATGGGCTTTCGAGATATGCACGAGATGTTCAATCTTTAAAAGTTAATTGAACCTGGTTAGGCTGAGACGTTCTTTGTGGTCGAGTAGTTTAAAGCAGGCTGAATGAAACGATGCTTTACCCACAAATGAGGCCGCGTGTTCGAACCCTGTCTCTTTATTAAATCTCTCAAATACGCAGGCCGGTAGACGTAATCCACCCTACTTAAAATAATTGTTGCGTGACTGGTTCTTCTTCTAAAGTTTATCAACCATTTACAAGTTATTTAAAGCCAGAAAATATATTTATATGGTAAGCATTTTTGGTGGGAAATAATGATGATTTACTGATACAAGTCCTACTAATTGACCTATAGCTGGGCGAAGTGGTAGACTCACAGCTTTCCCAAGGGTATTTGCGCGTAAGTGAATATAACGAACCCAACTGGAATTGGAACACCGCTCCTCGATTAACAATTCCGAGCCGTTATCTAATATACCGCTAGTACATCAAAGCTTACAGCACCTGGTATTCCCAAGCGGTCACTCATCTAGTTACTGACCAGGCTCGATATTGCTAAACTTTAGTGATCGTATGGGAACTGGTCTTTCAACATGGTGTGGCCGTAAGCATTTCCGAAATGAGTCAGTCCCTCAGATGAAATTTGAACTCGGCATGTCAATACCATTTCCAGGATTATTAATCATTAATGCGCCTGCACTTCTTATAAATATATTTTTCTTCTTATATATATATATATATATATGTGTGTGTGTGTGTGTGTGTGTGTGTGTGTGTGTGTGTGTGTGTGCATTTTGGCAGTAATGCACATTTCATTGAATAAGACAAACAAGATGCTTTGATTTTTTATACAATTTTTATACAATTTCTCATGCGATCTAATATTTTTTTTTTCTTTTCGGATGATAAATTATATAAAAACTGTCCAATTGTTCTTTTTATCCGGGCACAAAAGCTTTCATCTTTCAATACTATGATTGTACTTCTTCAGGCGATGGTAAATAATTAGTACAATCATAATATTGAAATATAATACACACACACATACACACATACATATATATATATATATATATATATATATATATATATATATATATATATATATATTAAACCTAGAGAGCCAGACAAATCTACCAAGGTTTCACCTAAGCGGATCGTCAGAGATGCCGGCCTTGCCTGACTATCCGCTTAGGTGAAACCTTGGTAGGCTTGTCTAGCTATCTAGGTTTAACTAGGTCGGCTCTGCTCATTGTATTGAGCACTTTATTTAGTTGTTCTGGATACTCGCATCGGTTTTTTTTTTTCTTTGGGCTTTGGACCTGCATGCTAGACGATTATTTTCGGCTAACGTACATGTTCTTGGTTCTTTCTTTTTTATACCTTTTTTTCCCTTTGGTATTGGCTTGATTAATCGCAAATCAAGACACCGAAGTTTTTTCGAGCGAGTATAGTTTTTTTACCCATAAGATTTCTATTAAGGATAAATAAATTAAATATATCTTAAGTCGGTAAAAATAGAAATATTAAAAATGTGACTAAATAATATTTGAATGCCCCTTTTGAAAAAATCGTAAATTTATAAAAATAAAAATTAAATCAAAAATTAAAAATGCCAAATGTATTGCTATTGAAAACCAGACGATATGTTGGAACATAGACACTACCACAAATTTCTGCTTGGAAAAAGGAAGTTTGTATCAACAGACAGATACCCCCACCCCGCTCCTTGACTTGACCGACTTGATAGCTAGAATACTTTAGATACATGAGTTTTCTAAATAAGTTAAATGTCAACAACCCCCAATTTAAAATTAAAAAAAATGGAATTTTCCTTAACCCCAACATCTGAAAATATCAAATTTGTCTGGACTTATGAATTAAGTGAATCAATTTCTAAAAAGTTATTCTTAGCATCGCTTGATAATGGAACAGTTTTGAAACATGAGTATTTCGGTGTTACGATGATTATATATTTTTTAAAAATAACAATTATAATATATATATATATATATGTGTGTGTGTGTGTGTGTGTGTGTGTGTGTGTATAAATATAAATAAAATAAATATATATATGTATAATTATTTATATATTATATGCATAGTACATATTAGAAAGCGCTCAATATCAGAGATAGAGCTAACATATTTGGTTGGATAGATGTGGTTGTGACCCTGGTTTTCACCTTTAGCGATCGTCAGCTGACGATCGCTAAAAATGAAACCCAGGGTCACATCTAAACCAAATATCTATATATATATATATATATATATATATATATATATATATATATATAGACGCTTAATTCACATTTTAAATCTATCAAGTTATTTTGAACATCCTATTAGCTTGTAAGGTTTCTGCAAATATTTAGTGCAAATGCATTAATATACGTGTGAGGCGAGGGTTGAAAAATTAGCACAATTTGCTTCTTGTAAGTCAAACTGATAAACCTTCTGTGTATATCTATGCATGTTGGCGTCGCTTAATTTAAGGAAACTATATTTCACTTCAAATTGAACGCTTGATCATATGTCATTGATATAGTCTCTATGCCACATACAAATTAAACCACGTTTTTATCTATTTATTTGCGCATTTTAGGGTGACTACCTACAGTCGAATTTCTTCCTACATTCGTGCCATATTATCATTGAGATGATTTGCATCTGTGGTTCTTGTTGCGAGATACACTATTAGGAAATTTCGTTCCGGTTTTCTTTGCGATTTATATCCACATCTTCCGAGAAACAAAAAAAAAGGTCATAGCTTATATCTCAACTTTCAGCCAAAGGAAGACAGAAATCCATACACACATACAACTCAATCTACCAATCTTACTAAAGAACAAAAAAAAATGAAAAACCTATTACAAAAATACCCAGTCATATAAGCAAGCGACAACCATAGTCACTAAAAAAGATATTGACTAGTGCAAAACTGCAGACCACAATTAAAGAGCCTTAAGTGAAAAGATGCAACTAACCCCACAGCTACCTATTAGAAGGCCCTGAATTTCACTTCAAAGAGGGATCCAAATTTAAAATAATTTTCTCGTGCAAGAATTTAATATACATTATAACATGTGAAGGTTGCCACGAATACTAGATTGGTGAAACCGGCCGAACACTCCGACAAATTATAACAGTTCATCGCCAAGAAATTAGAACTCCCCACACTAGAAAAATAACCATTAGCCAACATATGCGCAGTATAAAATCTGCCAAACTCTAACATCTTCCTACTCTACCAATGTGACTACAAAACCACCGAACAAATGCGCATTAATAAAAAAAAAAAAAAAAAAAAAACATTTTTCAACAGAAAATTTAAACCAGAACTCAAATCATTGCATAAGTCAGAGGTACGTCCCTCAAAATAGATTCTATCATATTCTCCTTGCCATAAGCGACAGATATAACCAGTTACGTCCCTTGATTTTTTTTTCTTTTATTCCGTCGGCATGTGATAATCCTTGACAAACTTTTTGAAAAGCTAAGAGCGAAACCGGTTAAAGTAAAACGAGTTTTCTGAAAACCGACATGTAAGTAAAAAGGTAAAACTATTTCTCTAAAAAAACCCATGAAAAACCCCCGTTGAAAACCCTAATTTCAATTATAATATTTCTCTATAAACATACAAGTATTATAAATATTGCATATAAATATATAAAAACATTAGGTGTTTTTACAAATCTTATTATTTTATCTCTCCCTATCTATCAGTCTATATATATATATATATATATATATATATATATATATATATATATTGTGTGTGTGTATTTAGGCAGCATCTTTTCATTCATACACATTTCATTAAATAATATAGACAATTGTTGTCTATTTATTTTATGTAAACAATAACAGACTATCATCATTGTCTTGTCCGTATATTGTTTAATATGTTGTAATTGACATCTTTGATAATGGCTTATGTAAGCCGAAAGCTTAGATTGTATTAAATAAAAAAAATATGGATCAATATTGTGAATTTCTTTCTTCGTTCAACGATAATGTTATTAAACTTATCAGACGTTACGAAAAAAATTTACATAAAATAAATAGACAACACTTGTCTATATTATTTAATGAAACGTGTATGAATATATATATAACATTCAGTGCAAGCGTGAATGACTCTTGTGTCTTGTATTGGGTTAAAATTTGCTATAAAACTGGGAGTTGAATGACTGTGTTTTCGAGCCACATTAAAGTCATCTTGATAAATATCTACACAAATATACTAAGCGTTTGGCCATAAGTTGGAGAGTGATGTGTCACGAGCTAATCTATCAAATCGTGATTCAGAGGTTCGATCTTCCCTCGGTTGTCTCCTCTTCATTTGATAAATATCTTCAAAAATATACTCAATCTGTTGGTACAAATAGTAAAGTGAGGTTTTATTGCATGAAAGAATTTCCATGCATGTTCAGCTTTTTACCTTACCGTAATTTTTTTTTTCACATTTCTATTAAAATCTATTAAAATTCTAGCATGCATTGCTGAATATCTTTACATTTTGATTATTAAAACAACGTTATTATTTAACAGGAACATTTTATGTCCAATGAGAAATACAGAGAATAAAGAAAGTATTTGTGGCATTGCAAATATTAAATAAATTGGTAGCGGGTTTCAAACTCATTATAAATGTTGTGATTTAAAATACCGAAAAGAGGAAGACAAAATTGAATAGATCAGCGAACCAATATGTTCCATTGATTAAATAAAGTTTTCGGTTCCAAATTCCGAGTAGGTTACCCATGGCAACAAACTCCTGAAGAAGGCCGGGTGTACAGCGGTGGAAACGGTGTATGTCCGGGAACAGGCGAAGGTCACTAGCATGGAAACTATGCTGCTGAAGACGCAGCGGCGGTGGGTACATGTTTCCAGGTTGGATGACCAATAACTGTCCCAAATTGTTCGGTATGGCAGTGAAATCTTCACTGTGAAATATGACAATGGTTATATATATATATATATATATATATATATATATATAAAACTAACCTCAGTACTGAAGCTGAGGATTGAAGTTACGAGACATGAGAAACATGGATAACTTCTTATATAGGGTTAGTCAAAAAGAATAAAACAGATTTCGAAAATTTGATTCGAAAAAATGTTAAGAGGCAGAAACAATCAACACATTTCGGGATCGGAAAAGGTTCAAAGTTACTTCTATCTATAAAAGGCAGAATGTGTGTGTGTGTGTGTGTGTGTGTGTGTGTGTGTGTGTGTGTGTGTGTGTGTGTGTGTGTGTAACGAATGCACGGCCGCAATTTTCGACGGATTTGCACCAAAATTTACATGCACATGCTCCAAGTTAGCGGGAAGGCCAAGACCGACTTTGCATTTCCCAACTCCCATCGATAGTGGAAATAATCGATTTTTTCATGCTTCTACGGCAGTTTTCATGTAGTTTGCGGCCATTTTCTGCTGGCCAAAGTGAGAGCCAATAGCTGGATGCCACGAATAGGCAGGAAGATTTCTATTGGCCAGCGTGAGAGCCAACAGCTGACTGACACGAATGTTAACTAGCAGGCTAGCATGCAAACAAATCGATAGCTGCATTCGTCACAAGTGGGAAAAATTTAAATATGCA